GGGAAGGAAGCTGTGGGGTCAGCACCGGGGGCCGTTGATAGAACTGTCCCCTGGACCTTGCAAATCTCTGGGGTCCCCTGGGGCCGGCTTCTCTGGATGCTTTTGGGGGCAGGTTCTGGTCAGTGGCTTTCGGCCACCACCGGAGAGAGGCGCCTGGGATTCTTGGCGGTTGACCAAGGTCCTTCTTTGCCACGAGGTGGACGCAGAAAGCTGGGGCAGGGTCCCCACGGGGTCTTTTCAAAGGGCCCAGTGTGGGGGATCAGGCCGGAGGCAGCCCTGGGTCCYGGGCAGGGTCTCCCTGAGCTAAAATGCACAAAATGCTGTTTGGCTTCCGGGATGGGGAGGCAGGTGCTGGAGGGAGGCCGGACCTCCAAGGAGCCTGGTTTCCCTCCCTCCCTCCCTCTCTCTGGGGTCCCTGTCAGCCCTGGGGTTTCTTGTCCTTCTGAACGAGACTCCACCTGGCCAGCACAGCTCGGGGACACCCCTGCATTTCGTTGATTTATTTTAAAGAAAAGAGACAAAGAAAGAAATGAAAATACCCAGAAAGTAGGAGGCTGACCTTTAGCCATAGCGTCTTTAAAATAAAAGTCCCGGGGAGACTTTTATTTTGTAACAGAGATCGYCCTCCGCCCTGCAGGGACCCAACCCAGAGGACTGGGCGTCTCCATGGTGACCGACTTACATTTCCAGGAAAAAAAGTCAGAATAAATTTTTCTACGATTTTTTTTTCTTGCAATACAGGTTAAAAAATATATATATATAAATGTGATTTTYCCAAAGCAAACGGTGCAGGATATCATCTCCAATCGTCTTCATTTTTGATAAAATACTGTTTTAGTTTATTTTCAACCCAAAAGGGACTATTACCACGGACGGCTTATGTCAGACCTGGGAACAGGATATAGGAACAAACGCACCCTCGCTATTTGCGACCTGATACCACGTGACCTGATATCACTCAAATCGTTTTTTAAAGATATTTTCAGTCCCCAGGGATCGAATCCCGGTGGGCTGACCCACGGAGCCACATTCCTCAGCCTTTTTTTTATTTCTTAATATTTTTATTTTGACACTTGGTTTGCTTCTGTCCTCCCTGAGTTGCGGAGGCTGGCCTCCGACTTGCGATCCTCCTGCCCCAGCCTCTACAGCTTACGGGATCCCAGGTGTGCATCACTGTGCACAAACCATCAGCTGTTTTTCTGCATCTCTTTTAAAAAGTGGGCGCTTTCTCTCCCTTGCCAGGTTGTTACTGGACAATAAAATGTTTTAGTGGTTCAAAAAATTCACTTGGAAATTTAATTAAGTAACAGATTCAATTATTTGTTAATGAGAAATGAATTTAACAATTATTTTAAAGCCTCCACAGACTCCTTTAAGAGGTTTATTGCCCATCAACGGCGGCCATGAATACCCACACTTTATTATTTCTAGTCTCCCAATAAAAAAAGGGGCCAGAGAAGATGCTAGGGGTTAGCTCAGTGGTAGGACTTTTGTGCATTCTGTTCTCGTCTCTGGGTTCAATCCTGCAAATACCAAATCAAAAAAAGAAAGAGAGAAACAGGATCCCAAGCCATTGTCCTGCATCGTCCTAATGAGCAGATGACAGATGACGGTCCTACCTCCCCCAGGTGCTGGGAGGGACAGACCCCCGGTGTTTTTGAGGMAGGGCTTGTTCTCTGCTGTATACTATTTTGCACGGCAGGTTTGCAACACCAGCCACCCAGGACCCACAGGTTCCCGTAGGGAGATGCCTGGTGTCCCCACAGATTGAGGACGCACCTGGGTATCCTGCTGAGCTGCAGCCTCCCGCACCAATCGCCAGCTCCCTCTGACCCCTGCACCTCCCAGCACCATGCGGACCCCTTCCTCCTGAGKAAATCCATGCAGCTAGACACTTGCAGAACTTCCTGATATTCTGTTATGTTCTGCAGATGGGGGAGACCGACTTTGGGGGGTACTGTATGATTTGGGGTCTCACGGATGTCRTATCCTGCTGTTGCTTTGAGTCAAACCTCGATGTCCCCTTCAGGAGCACATCAACCCACACCTGCAGGGTGGGTGGCTGGTGCTGGGTCGCTGTGGAAGGTACTGTGCTTAGTCCCTCTGAGCTCACTGACMGGCAGGGGCTGCATCTTACCCACCAGGAAACCAAGTCTGAGTCCCCTGGGGCTGGTTTACTCTGGGTCAAATGACCCTCCTGAGCCTGGGGGCTTGGGATTGGGACTCTGATATACTGAACCCCAAATCACCTCCAGTCTCTGTCTTGATTTATATGACCTCAGGACTCATGAAATGTGCCCGAGGAGCACTGAGTGACGGCTTTCCTCTTGTGCCTCCTAGTGGCCAGTCTCGGCCACTGCAATCCTTAGATTTAGGGATCATGAAAGAGGAGGGGGGGGGACATCAGGGGTGATGTCCGCTACCTACTTGAGGGAGAAAAAAAATAACAAATAAAAAAATGCACGAATTTATCGCGCACAGGATGCTTTGAAAAGTGCACATTGCAGCCGAGTGGCCCAATGACACGCGTTCACGTATGTGTTACCCCGTGTGTCACGTATTTGCGGGGGACAAGGTACAGACGCTGGTGTCTGCGCCATTGGCGTGGTCAATGACAGAATTCTACCTTTTTTTCTGGCTGTGTAGTATTCTATTGGTGAGTGGGTACCACGTTGATTCCCCATCTTCTCAACGGTTGTGTTATAAAGCTGCATGATGGGGGGTGGGATTTGTCATTACCTACGTGTGCAAGCGCACGATGGGGACACGCAACTTAGCCAACGTACTTCCTCAACACTTCCCTTCCCTCGCCTCCTGTCCTCTACCAGTCCCTCTCCTCTAGTAATCTACCTTTGATTTTTTTTTCCCCAAGGGGAGGGGTAGGTACTAGGGGACTGAACTCAGGGACCCTTGACCCCTGAGCCCCGTTCCCAGCCTATTTTGCATTTTATTGAGACACAGGGTCTCCCTGAGCTACTTAGGGCCTCGCTTTGGCGGAGGCTGACTTTGAACTCGCCATCCTCCTGCCTCAGCCTCCCGAGCTGCTGGATGACAGGCGTGCACCACTGCGCCCGGCTCTCCCTTTGACTTTTATGACCTGCAGCTGCACCTTTCTATTCCTTTTTCCCGCCAAGCTTCTGCATAGGAGCCAAAGTGACCCCTGAGACTAATTTTGGMGTATTTGGCTTCACATGGTCTCAAGTTCCACAATTTTCCTGCAAATGACGTGATTCCATTCTTCTACATGGCTGAATACTACTCCACTGTGTCTACACACCACAATTTTTCATGCATTCATTCATTCCTGCACACCTMGGCTGGTTCCACTGTTTGACTATCGTGGATTGTGCTGCTATAAACCGCACGCCACTTATTACTATTATTTTTTAATTTGTTTTGTAATTTTTTTGTTTGTTTTTTTCTTTTCTTTTTTTAAATTCTGTTTTGGGGGGGTAATGTTTTATTCTGTTATAAACCTTGACAACTGTGCTACGATCTGCATGGACATTCAGACCTCTCTTCAAAGACTATTTAAAAAAAAA